TTTGTCAATGACACGTTCGATGGACCGTACATGTTTTTGTCAATGACACGTTCGATGGACCGTACATGTTTTTGTCAATGACACGTTCGATGGACCGTACATGTTTTTGTCAATGACACGTTCGATGGACCGTACATGTTTTTGTCAATGACACGTTCGATGGACCGTACATGTTTTTGTCAATGACACGTTCGATGGACCGTACATGTTTTTGTCAATGACACGTTCGATGGACCGTACATGTTTTTGTCAATGACACGTTCGATGGACCGTACATGTTTTTGTCAATGACACGTTCGATGGACCGTACATGTTTTTGTCAATGACACGTTCGATGGACCGTACATGTTTTTGTCAATGACACGTTCGATGGACCGTACATGTTTTTGTCAATGACACGTTCGATGGACCGTACATGTTTTTGTCAATGACACGTTCGATGGACCGTACATGTTTTTGTCAATGACACGTTCGATGGACCGTACATGTTTTTGTCAATGACACGTTCGATGGACCGTACATGTTTTTGTCAATGACACGTTCGATGGACCGTACATGTTTTTGTCAATGACACGTTCGATGGACCGTACATGTTTTTGTCAATGACACGTTCGATGGACCGTACATGTTTTTGTCAATGACACGTTCGATGGACCGTACATGTTTTTGTCAATGACACGTTCGATGGACCGTACATGTTTTTGTCAATGACACGTTCGATGGACCGTACATGTTTTTGTCAATGACACGTTCGATGGACCGTACATGTTTTTGTCAATGACACGTTCGATGGACCGTACATGTTTTTGTCAATGACACGTTCGATGGACCGTACATGTTTTTGTCAATGACACGTTCGATGGACCGTACATGTTTTTGTCAATGACACGTTCGATGGACCGTACATGTTTTTGTCAATGACACGTTCGATGGACCGTACATGTTTTTGTCAATGACACGTTCGATGGACCGTACATGTTTTTGTCAATGACACGTTCGATGGACCGTACATGTTTTTGTCAATGACACGTTCGATGGACCGTACATGTTTTTGTCAATGACACGTTCGATGGACCGTACATGTTTTTGTCAATGACACGTTCGATGGACCGTACATGTTTTTGTCAATGACACGTTCGATGGACCGTACATGTTTTTGTCAATGACACGTTCGATGGACCGTACATGTTTTTGTCAATGACACGTTCGATGGACCGTACATGTTTTTGTCAATGACACGTTCGATGGACCGTACATGTTTTTGTCAATGACACGTTCGATGGACCGTACATGTTTTTGTCAATGACACGTTCGATGGACCGTACATGTTTTTGTCAATGACACGTTCGATGGACCGTACATGTTTTTGTCAATGACACGTTCGATGGACCGTACATGTTTTTGTCAATGACACGTTCGATGGACCGTACATGTTTTTGTCAATGACACGTTCGATGGACCGTACATGTTTTTGTCAAACACGTTCGATGGACCGTACATGTTTTTTGTCGATGACACTATCGATGGACCGTACATGATTTTGTCAATGACACGTTCGATGGACCGTACATGTTTTTGTCGATGACACTATCGATGGACCGTACATGATTTTGTCAATGACACGTTCGACGGACCGTACATGTTTTTGTCAATGACACGTTCTATGGACCGTACATGTTTTTTGTCGATGACACGTTCGATGGACCGTACATGTTTTTTGTCGATGACACTATCGATGGACCGTACATGTTTCTGTCGATGACACGTTCGATGGACCGTACATGTCTTTGTTAAACACGTTCGATGGACCGTACATGTTTTTTTTAATTACACGTTCGATGGACCGTACATGTTTTTGTCAATTACCCGTTCGATAGACCGTACATGTTTTTGTCAATGACACGTTCGATGGACCGTACATGTTTTTTGTCGATGACACGTTCGATGGACCGTACATGTTTTTGTTAAACACGTTCGATGGACCAAACATGTTTTTGTCAAACACGTTCGATGGACGATAAATGTTTTTGTCAAACATTTTCAATTTACCATGATTATTTGTTGTCAAATACGTACATTATTACTTAAATCTTAATATGTTAAGTCTCCAAAATTTGACGATATACCACCATTACTAGCACTATCCTGGTATATCTCTAAAAGTCGTCCGACAAACTCAGTCGTTCTCCACATGCTTTCTTACCTCAATAATCGTAGTTACACATGCTCGACTTATCTTTTCTATTAGTCGCAAATAGGTTGATAAAATGTGGCATATGATCATTCAAGATAAACATTTTCTAAACCCACACAATAAACAATACAATAATGAAATAATCAAGAGAAAAATAACGCTTTTAGCGTTAATACAGTTATAATATAGATCCTTTATCAAATGTAAATAAATTGTGTGTTGCAATTGGAAACGTCATCGATATTGTTTAATGATTGATCACTCTTAAAAAGTCGTTTGCTAAGTTGAAAGAAAGACATGATGACCAAAAGTCAGTATTTTGGAAATATAAATTGGTTTTGCAAAAGTACCACAGAACATTGTTAAACAGTTGGTGATGTCTAAAAGGCGTGTCACCAATACTGTTTTAAACTACAGCAGTATGTAGGTAATATATATTGGGCGTTGTAGGCGAGGACTAGTGTTATAGATGTGACAGGTTTATACAGGTCTGTTAGGAGATACCGATCAGCTCCTTTGTTAATCTGTATGCTAACAACACAATTCTTATCTGGCATAAAAACATACATATCCGAGTTGACACAGTACATATAGATAGTCTGCAGACCAGCAGCAGTTCAGATTCAAACTCGTTGTATACTTTAAGCTTTATAGCTTACCAAAAGCTTTACAGCTTACCAATGGAACTGATAATACCACAAATAATGAGTTATGTCAAATAGACATTGTGGTCCTGGAAATGCAACTATGCCTGCTTAGACCTGTTTAAGTCAGATTTTTAAACTTGATTTTAAATTGTCTCTTTTCATTGTTGGCCTTCTACCTAATTTCAATGAATGAACAAATTGCTCGTAAATCCGAATAGTTCATATGGTTTCTGGACATGGACCACCCTTTCTCCCACACCTGACAGATGTATCTCCCGTTTTGCCGGTGCTAGATTTATCTGTCTCCGCCCTAGGGTTGAGACGGGGGGATTCCCCTATTCATAACAATGGCATGACGTCACTTCAACAATACAATGACGTCACGTCAACAATCCATCAACAAATTGCCCGTATGTGTTTTGGGTCCATGTTTCCCTTTATTTCACATTAAAATACTGTTAGATATGGGAGAAAAATAATCAATCGCTACTGGTTGTGTAAGATAGAGAAATCTCAACCCTCGGACTAAGATTTTTTGTCCAGAACTCGGCAAGCCTCGGGTTGAAATTTCTCTATCTTACACAACCAGTAGCGATAGATTCTATTAGTATATCCCATGGAGACAAGCAGTTCAGTAGATACAACGGTGACCACTAATTCCCTTACGTTACATGATTGAATACAATGATAGTCACTGTTTTAGTCTCTCGTCGAAATTTACTCCCATGGCTTTTTAACTGGGCAATAGGAATCTAGTGTCACGTGTTTAAGGTATATATTTTAATGGAGTTTTAATGATAATACCAATCTTCATATACGGAGTGTTGTTGGTTGTTCATTATTAATTCTGATGATGATTGCGGATTTGTACAATGTAGGTCTTTCTGCTCTTCTAGGTTTTAATAAGAGTTTTAGTGTCACCTATGCATATCTTTATCTCACATCTGGAAGTCTGGACATATCGTTCGAACATGTTCTAAGTAGATTCCCAAGCATTTTATATTTTAACTAGGACGGGTGGGCCGTGAAACCGGCCATTTTTGCGATCAATTTTGTTTTGTACTGAGTTTGGTAAGAATCTTATAACAAGGTGATGCAATTTAACTGATTGCACTGTTTACAGTTAGGTGTTCAGTCTTTATCAAACATTGGCCGACAATATGTTAATTCGGTATCTAGGGACAAATGTATAAAATAAATTCTATTGTTCCGAAAATAATACGGAAAACTGATATCAAGAAGGACATTAGTCCAATTGCAGACAAATCTTTAAATAATCCCAATGTAGTTTTCATGCTGAATGAAACCTCCCTCTTATTAGGGCACTCTGTTTTGGATGTCATATAGTAATGTCCGTCAGTCCGTCCGTCCGTCAGTCCACACTTTCGTTTCCGGAGATTATCTCAGAATCCGAAAGACTAGTCTTCCCGTAATTTGACATGGTGATAAACTGTAATATATGTGTGTAGATGTGCAATAGGGATTTAAAAGTCTTCTAAGGTCAAGGTTATTGTTACTAACAAAATGGCCGTGTAGTCCAGTCCATATCTTGAAATCCAGGACAGATTTATTTTTTTAATTTTACAAGGCAACACGCTATGATATGTAGATGTACAACACGGTTTTTTTTTTTTTTTTACGTTCATGCATATGATGAAGTCCTTGCTGACCAGTCAATGTTCTAGCTTCATTTTTAGGAAATAACTGTAGTGAGACAGGACCCGGATGTTACCCTTGACCATGTAGTTCATTTGGTAAGAGCAACAATTAAATGAACGGAAATCATGGGTTTGAATCTTCCTCTTCCTTCGTTGGCATTTTTGCAGGTCTTTTTTTAAATAAAGCTATTAATAAAATAAAGCTATTTATAAACATCCCGCAATGTATGGCTTCCTTTACAGGAATGATTTAGCAAAGCGCTGCTCGTGCCAAAAAGGAATTTTCAAATGCATAGGTACAGGAATTTTTTTTTGATTTTTTTTTTTTTTTTTTTTTGCTATTGTACATGTATTCTTAATTCCTATACTGTGTATGAAAACATCTAGTTATATAGCACAGCCGTTGTGTAGGTTATCGGTTATATTAAAGAGATTGTATATTCTCTGTAACAGATGTTTATAAACATAGTCCTGAGCTGAATATGTATGTGTATACGAACGAGGATCGTACTTACCTGTGTATTCGACACCTTCTCCGCTTTTAACTCCGTGTGTTGTTCGACAAGCTTCATCGCTTTTAAAACGAAGTCTCACTGTCAATTACTCGACAGAACGTGGAAATATGTTTGAGTCTCGGAGTGTGCGGAAATTGATTTAATAATGTGTGTCCAGAAGTCTTAGTTTACAAGGATATAGCGACATTTTGTACTCCGTATGCTGTTGGTATATAGTTGATATATACCTGAGGACACAGTGGGTCACGAGGCGTGACCGATATTAAACAGTTTGAGATAAGTGTACTAATAACACGACAGATATTATTTAAATAGTCTAAGGTATGTGTGTCACACTACTCGCAAGGAGATAGATATCAACATGATAATGAACTATGATCAAAGTTGTGCAGTGTGATCATCGTGATGAACCTTGCGGTAAAATGCGAACTTTAAGCGCTAGACGACAAGTTGTGAATGGCGGAAACGGAGGATAAACGTTTAATCGTCGGAGACAAAGAACCCCGTCAGTTCTTTGTGATATGTTTGACGTGTGTTGCCACTATCGGTGGCTTCCTGTTTGGTTATGACACCGGTATCATTTCCGGTTCCATGCTTCTCATACGGGACGTATATTCCTTGTCAACACCATGGCAACAACTGATAGTCAGCGGCACCATAGTAACTGCCTCTGTTTTCTCACTGGTAGCGGGGATTACGTCAGACATGTTTGGCCGGAAGATCACAATTATGTGGTCATGTGTGGTGTTCACGCTGGGGGCTGTGGTAATGGGGGTATCGCCGGATAAGGAAGTGTTGTTCGTGGGGAGGTTGGTTGTTGGGATAGGCATAGGTGAGTGTACGTATACTAAATATACACTGTTACTCACAAATTTTGGGTATAATTATCGAAAATTCGAACAGTTTGGTGAATATTTTAGTGTCGATTTATCTATGACGTCATGTAAATATTATGACGTCACAATTAAAATACGTAAAAAATGGACTATTTACCTTTCGCATGTTATATTACAGATTCAATTGATGCAATATTAGCCTTAATAGCCTCAAACTGCAAAATCATAACCCGAATACACATTCTTATTCATCTCATAAGGTAAATTCTCAGCAAAAAAAATGTGACCTGTAACGTTATTATCTTAGGCTCACTTCAACACGTAATAGCGTCACTTTAAGCGTCCATGAAACAACAAAGCACATTTGCATGGTTCTTCGAAACTAGGCAAAGGTCTTTAACTGTAAAACAGTTATTAGATTTCACATCGGTCAATGCAAAACATAAAACATTTTTGGGTTGATGAATCATAGTATGTACGTCTTCAAACATCGTAAATTGCACAATATCAATGATAGACCATATTGTTTTAACGTAAGAAACAGGTGATGGGGACCCAATAGACGTATAGGTTATATTTGGTAATATCGTTATCCTTGTACCAAAGGTATTGTGTCATACAGCAGAAGGTCAGTCACATCAGGTCATACCACAAGATTCATACGTTCATGCACCTTAGTGGAGAAAAAATTCCGTGTATAAAGTGATTATTTAAAATTAAAACAGGAGAAATTCTCTATTTTCACGACAGGCTGGTCGGGCAATGTGATTTACTCGTTGTGTTGTCTCGAATATGCAGTGAAGAGAAGACCAAATGTTATTACTAGTACAAACAGTAGTTACTATTACAAACAGTAATTACTATAGTACAAACAGTAGTTACTATAGGACAAACAGTAGTTACTATAGTACAAACAGTAGTTACTATTACAAACAGTAATTACTATAGTACAAACAGTATTTACTATTACAAACAGTAATTACTATAGTACAAACAGTAATTACTATAGTACAAACAGTAGTTACTATTACAAACAGTAGTTACTATTACAAACAGTAGTTACTATAGTACAAACAGTAGTTACTAGTACAAACAGTAATTACTGTTTGTACTAGTAACTACTGTTTGTACTATAGTAACTACTGTTTGTACTATATTAATTACTGTTTGTACTATAGTAACTACCCCCTGTACTATAGTAATTACTGTTTGTAATAGTAATTACTAGTACAAACAGTAATTACTATAGTACAAACAGTAGTTACTATTACAAACAGTAATTACTAGTACAAACAGTAGTTACTATTACAAACAGTAATTACTATAGTACAAACAGTAGTTTCTATAGTACAAACAGTAGTTACTATAGGACAAACAGTAATTACTATTACAAACAGTAATTACTATAGTACAAACAGTAATTACTAGTACAAACAGTAATTACTGTTTGTAATAGTAACTACTGTTTGTACTATAGCAACTACTGTTTGTACTATAGTAATTATTGTTTGTAATAGTAACTACTGTTTGTACTGTAGTAATTACTGTTTGTAATAGTAATTACTGTTTATACTATAGTAATTACTGTTTGTACTACAGTAATTACTGTTTGTACTATAGTAATTACAGTTTGTACTATAGTAATTACTGTTTTTACTAAAGTAAGTACTGTTTGTACTATACTAATTACTGTTTGTACTATAGTAATGACTGTTTGTACTAAAGTAAGTACTGTTTGTACTATAGTAATTACTATAGTACAAACAGTAATCACTATAGTACAAACAGTAGTTGCTATAGTACAAACAGTAGTTACTATTACAAACAGTAGTTTCTAGTACAAACAGTAATTACTATAGTACAAACAGTAGTTACTATAGTACAAACAGTAATTACTATAGTACAAACAGTAATTACTATAGTACAAACAGTACTTACTTTAGTACAAACAGTAGTTGCTATAGTACAAACAGTAGTTACTATAGTACAAACAGTAATTACTATAGTACAAACAGTAATTACTATAGTACAAACAGTAATTACTAGTACAAACAGTAATTACTATAGTACAAACAGTGATTACTATTACAAACAGTAATTACTATAGTACAAACAGTAGTTACTATAGTACAAACAGTAGTTACTATTACAAACAGGAGAACTTTAAATAAAACCTTCTTATTGTAACCATATATGTTAGTGTTTGTGCCATAAACGATGAATACCTTATATTGAAATGTATGACATTGCTTTTACTGTATTTTAACGTATTATTTATACGGTATTATGTTACATTGAATAACATTGTATTATTTGTACATGGACTAGGCGCTTTAGTATTGTTCTGTAGAGTATTACATTGTCTATGGCTGTGTTGTATTATTTGTACATGGACTAGGCGCT